AACAATAGCGATTCCTATTCCACGTCAAACAATGGGAAATGTTATCTTCTTTCTTGTGTTTCTCTACCTCATCACCCATGTCAGTTACATATTTCTTGCAACATCTAACTTCTTTTCATTTAAATTCCTTCCGCAAGATGTGGTGTACATAGCCAAAACAATCCCGCTCTCTCACAAAAGTGTGTCAGCTTTCTCATTCTGGACTCTCTTTCTAGAGCAAAGTTTTACAATTTCTGGTCCTACTTTCCTCTGGAAAGACTACTCAGGCTTGTCCATGGCATGTCTCCATAGCGTTAATGAGGATTACCTTGAGCAGTGCTTTCAGGAATTCAGAGCTCAACTAAATGCTAAGTTGTCTGGTTCTATAAAGGAGGCTCTCAGCTGCTTTTTCTGGGTTAACATTTAGTTGTAAAATGTTTCCTGTTCTAGGTCTGTGTTGAGAACAAAGTTTGCACAATTCTTAAAAAGTGTTATCATTCACAAAACATACACAAAGTTGTATACATGGTTCACCAGAATGTGCCCACCTGCCAAGCATTTATTGTTTGCATTAATGGAATCCATTCCAGTTGGAATAAGCATCACTGGAACACTGCCTGGTCTCCCTTTGACAGATTCTTTTGCTGGCATTCTCTGCATTTCCAACACAAAGGTACCATAAAAATCCACTGGGAAGGGCTTGGCTTAAATCTCCCTGTAAGATTTCCAGATATGCCCAGTTTTTCATGCTAAAACAGAATCACATCCTTAACAAATTTAGTTGTTTCTGTTCACAGGAAAGAGAATATTCATATTGTCAAGCCACATGGAGTCATCCTTATTTACAAAAGGATTAAAGTAAAAATGTTTTTACTGAGATTGATAAACAGATAGAGCATGTCATCCCAATCATCTCTTCCTCTTCAGAAACACATAGCAGAAGTATATAAAGTACCTATTAAGTAAATAAAGGCAGCTTTACTGAATGTCACTTGTGTGAGATTTGCAATTTAAACTCTCTGAGTAATGCTCCCCTGCTCCACAATTGGTGGAGAGCTCAAGGATTTCAAAGCACCTTAAACTGGAAAAGCAAAGGTTTCCAATAAAGACAGAAGCTTTAAATTAATGTTTTTTTTCTTCTGTGGTAGGGATAAGAGGAGCAAACTCTGCAGAGGATTAAAATCCGCAGAGGATTACTATCTGTATGGTAATTGATACACTGATCACAATAATTATCTCACTTCCTGCTTTGAATATCTTGGGTTTCTTAGAAACACCAGTAACTGCAATGTGAGCTCTACAAAAATGATTCTCACAATCATTCCAGCACTGAAGAAGGTTCTGAAGAGCCCATCTGTTTATCATTTAAAACTGAAAACTTCAGAAATTGAAAATTACATTAAAACAGTAAAAAATAACACATTAACACTCATGATTAATGATGAAAAGCCAAAGTTTTTAGCCAAGTTCTAAAAATAACCACTGACTCAGAAAAACTAAATTAATTTAACCAAAGAACTCCACAGCTTTGCCGTGACTGAGAAAGCTCAGTCTCCCGCACAGTTCATAGCCTTAGGGACAGACTGGAGCTCAGCATCTGATGAACCAATCTGACCCACCAGTCTGATGAATGACAACAGATCTCTTCAGCAGAAAACGGAATGGCCTTCATGGGATTCATAAGTTAACAAAAGATCTCAACATCAAATGTAAAACTAAGAAGCAGTTAATGCTGTGCACATAAAAACAGGGGCCATGTGGCCCTGTTACTTTAATTTAGTCAGGGCACAAACAGTACAGTTTAATATACACTGATGTACAGTATTATTTTTAATCAAGTGATTTCTTCTTTATCTTCTTTAGCTGCAAAAGACAGAAAAAACATGCAGTGCCATTTCTGTGATGCCAACTTCTGCCGATTAGTGAGGTCATTACAATTCTGACAGGGCTAAAATTTACACCCACTCCTTTAGGACTGAAAATCTACAAGATTAAAATAAAACTGCACATAACCTAAAATTTTGTGAATAATATTCATATTAGCACATGTGTTTTCACTATGATAATAAAAATAACTAATTCTAAAAAAGTTTTTTTTTTAATAAATGGAATAGAAGCATACTGTACTCTTTTTTCTTTAAATAAGACAATGAATGCAGCCCAGGATTCCCTCATAATAATTGTATTAAAAAAATACTAGAACTTGTTTTTTCCAACAGATTGTTTTTGTTCGGTTTCCAAAACTCTGACCGTGCAGCTGCAATGTCAGAAAATTATTTTTCTTGCCCAGCATGCAATAAGGGGTCTATTACTCAACACTGCCAACAAGCAGCATAATTATTGAATTCTTTAATTATGTTACTAATTGTATGGGGAATGCACAACATAACATCACAGAAGTCAAACAAACTGCATGTAGCAGATCCATATCACAACATATCACAAGTCTGCCTGCCAAAAATGGCAACATTGTCAAAATAAAACAAGACATTGACCTGCTTCCACTGCCAAACTTGACAGAAATGGGCAAATCCTTAAGACTTTTGTCACTTTCATTTTTCTGTGATCCAGTCACTTCATAAAATTTAGGTAAACTACAATACCTCTTACATGGTTAGAGATGACAGGCGACTGTACTTTAGTAGCTACAGCATAAACATTAAAACACCTAACAGTTACGTCCACTGTAGTCTTAAAGTGGTGTTGTCACTGTAGCAGTGACATTTCTTCTATCACATTAAACCTGCTTGCACAGCACATTTGATGGTCTTATAATAGCAATGGTGTCCTTGGTGACCAAGATGTCTGAAGCAGCTGTATCACAGATTTAATGATGGTGCCCAGAACATCTTGTTGACATCAGTATTTGAATTTGAAGCACATAAAAGTAAAATATAGGGATGAAATGGTCAACACTTACTATTCTACACATAGTGTACTATTTAAGACAGCAGCCATATCACTCTGCAACTCACAATTGGCAACCTACTGAAGCTAAGCAGGTGTGAGCCTGGTCAGTACCTGGATGGGATATCTTCTGGGAAAAACTAAGGTTGCTGCTGGAAGAGGTGTTGGTGGGGCCAGCAGGGGGCGCTCACCCTGCGGTCCATGTGGGTCCTAATGCCCCAGTATAGTGATGGGGACACTATACTGTAAACAGGCGCCATCCTTCGGATGAGACATAAAACCAAGGTCCTGACTCCTGATTAAAAATCCCAGGGTGTTTCTTGAAAAGAGCAGGGGTATAACCCCGGCATCCTGGCCAAATTTCCCATTGGCCCTTACCAATCATGTCCTCCTAATAATCCCCATCTATGAATTGGCCTCATTACTCTGCTCTCCTCCCCACTGATAGCTGATGTGTGGTGAGTGTTCTGCTGCACTATGGCTGCCGTCACTTCATCCAGGTGGATGCTGCACATTGGTGGTGGTGGAGGGGAGTCCCCATTAACTGTAAAGCGCTTTGAGTGTAAGCAATTATTAAATTAATTATCATTCTTTTTGTTAGAAATAAAGGTTTCCATATCTCAGAAAATATTTATAGTGAAATTAACAAAAACACTAGAAAACCTATTTCTTACAGTAATGTTTATGTTTTATTTCAACTATTGTATCATAGGTCTCTTATTGCTTAGTGTTGTTTTTCATCTATACAGTTTTTGTTTTAGAAAATCCCACATCCCATCCTTTTTCTACTTTAAGTAATTAGTGGATGGTGCATACTTTCTAATTAAAACCTGCAGTGAATTTTATTGAATACCCTTTTTTTAGGAAGAATGGTGAATAGACAGCTGACATTTTTTTCAGTATTTATATAATATCTGCAGTTCCACTTCAGGATCCATTTAGCATTGCCATTAGGATAAAATGGACCATGATCCCAATGGACAACTGCCAATTTATATTGACCACTACTCAGTTTCTAATACCTGAAACTCTTTGAAGGAGTTTTGCTGCTATTACTGTAAGTTACTTTTAACTTGTTTTTGCTTCCAGCATTAATTATTTATTAATTTATTTAAAATCGGATTTTTCAATGTAATCAAGCCAATATTAATATGACATAAGTGTGCAGCAATTACAAAAAATATAACCATCTGTATGTTTTTCAGATTTTGCGATTTTGACATGCAAGATCCGTCTGCATATTGGCTAAATAAACTGGGGTCTTTCCAAATTTTCTGTTCTAAAGCTGAATTCGTTCTTAATGTTTTACACTTAAATACACTTGCACTTACAGTACAAAAGGTTTCTGTAAGGTATTCTGAGCCACAACATGGAGCAAAGTTTGTACAGGAACAAAATGCTTTGAAAGTAGCCCAGCTTCTATCTCAGGCTATTCATTCACGACAGTGAAGTGAGAAAATATCAATCTATTTAAATGGTGCCTGAAAACATCAATTACAGTCCCATTTACTTTTTTTATGGAAAGCAACAGACGAACTACGAGAGAAGTGTTTTAGAACGTTATATTTAGAGTAAATGAACTTTTCTGCTTTAACCATATGAAAGTGATATAATTTTTGCATTTTATTTAGCCAGTCGTAAGTTTCACGCAACCGTAAATATTAAATATGTTATCATAAAGCTATTATAAGTTACAATACAGTCTTGCTTAGTTCACAGTCACAGCATGTTATAGGCATACACCCGGTACCCCCAAAATCAAGACAATCTTAAATCAATACTGGTTTAAATTTAAAATTGCATTTGTGGTTAAAGTTTCCATCTTAAGAATCCATGCACATGTACAGTATATACTGTATGCACATTTTGTTATCACGAAATAAGCACAATTATTAAGTACTGTAGGTTAGCATCCAAGATGATTTGCAAAGCGAGAAAATATTAAACCATCAAAGTAGTCCTTCAGTATTAATGCATGAATGAACAGAGACTGAGACAAGTGCGATCCTCCCAACTCCTTTTTAATATGTTCTGCTACTCAAAGAAAAAGATCAGACTTCAATAACCTGCAGATTTACAGTATATACACTGAGATATTACATGAAAAGCCTCACCTTCGGTTCTTCTGAGATTCCTTTTTTTCCATGATGACGGGAACGCAGTTGGTAAGCTCGGTCCAGTCTGCGTGCAGACCGCAGCTCCAGCCGGTGGAGAATCTCGAGAAGAGCCAGGACTCTTGCTTGCCGGGTCGGTGACAGGTGCATTTCTTCTGCCCGGGCTTGCAGTCACACGGCTGCTCCAGGCGAATATTCCTCACCAGATGCCTCCCAAACGTGGTCCCACCGGTCTTTTGGATATGCAGGAACACAATCACATCGTCTCCTTTGATATTGAAATTCACATATCGCTTCAGGTCTTTTTCGGTGAAGTTGAATTTGGGCACGAACTTAGGAGGGCAGTCATCTTCCAGCTCTTGATCTCTGTAGTAGTCGTTGCTCGGCGGAGACTGGGATGTTGGAGGGGTGATGCCCCTTAACTTTTCCCCGGTCCTGAAGTGGCACGAGTTGCTGCCGGCGGGACAAATATATTGATAACCTATCATCACAAACAGCACAGCTAAAACTGGAACCAGGATTAATTTATTGGATTTATCATCCATGATAACGAGAAAGGTTTTTCATGTCATTAGTGTGAACAGTAAGAAGCACGTATCTTTCCACCAACCCTAAGCTCCATGCCCCGAAACGACACCGTTTTTACGTCCCACTCCAAAAGCATTGCATATTCCCCTATAACAAATATGCTGTGTCCTGAATGTTTCTTCTAAAGGCATACAGGAAGTCAAAAGTTACCAAAGGAAAACAAGAAAAACATTTAATTAGTATTTACTGTACAGCAAAGATCGCACAAATTTCAGGAAAATAAGAGTGAATGTTCAACAATGCAGTTTTATACTTGTTGTTTGTTGCTGTTGTTGAGTTATCAAGTCAATGTTTTCTTACGGTGAGAAATAACGCCGAGCACACCAAACCTTAACATTACTTTTCCCCAGTAAACGTCCGACTTCACGTGCTGCGTCTTCGTGGATTGCAAAGCACACTCACACCTGAGACGTGTCATTCAAAATTCCACGTTTATCTATAGTTCTAATATTTAAGTCGTTATTGTTTTAGCAGTATTGCTAGTATTATCATTGTGCTCTCGATCTTTATCCACAGGAAACCAAAACCTAATGCTTCTCAGTTACGCAACAACATTCTCGTCCTACATGTGCTACATGAACACCACATTAGCGTGCGCCAGAGGCTGGCTTCCGTCCTGCAGCTTGTGCAGCCTTGTAGGGTCTGAACTATAGTACAATTGCAATACTCATTGGCGTTTAAAATAGCGATTTTGAATTCTTCCTAACACACATAGCAAAGATGTCTCCCATTCGTGGACAGCAACTTCATCCCCTGGTAAATACCAGAATTTGAATCAACTGTAATGCCAGCCTTTAAAGTCTCATAAACTGCGGCAACACCTCTCTCTGCTCTTGTTAACACCCACTCTGCACAAGCAAGTAGGCTCACATGCTCACAAATTCATCAGAAGGAATTGAATACGGAGCTATTTCAGTTCCCCGCAATTAACCAATCGTCAATCTCGTGTTAAGCAAACCCAACCAATGGTGTTTCATATATATGCAGCCCATCCAATAGCCACCTGGACAAAATCATAAAAATAATAAATCTTATGATGTCAACCAATCAAACATTAGAAGCAGTGGGACACTGCCCAATGCGAAATACAAGCAGGAGATATCTTACTGAATTGGCAGTAACTGGGTTTCGTTCTGGTCAGACCGAGAAGTGGGTATTTAACTGTGAAAAACTTAACATTTCTCGGTGCTTTGGAACAGGAATTGAAAACATCCATCTGTTTTCAAAATAAACGCAATAACCGTATTTGACTGATAAATAAAAATAGGTTTTACGTAAGCCCAGCGGAATCTGAAATTACATACTCGTGGTCATAGAGTGCAGAGTACACGAACATATCGTTTTAGCTGAATTGATAACACATACAGTAAGCGTAGTGTTCTTACATAACTGCGACGGACTCCAGTGCCGTGTCACTGTTAGGATTGGTTACAACTGCCACCTTTAATCGGTTTCTGTTATTAGAAAGGTGATTGTTAAAACAGACAAGAGCATCTGTCTGGGGTTTTATTAGTTTTTCATCCACGCAGAAAAATAGAGCTCTGACACGAGTTAAATTTCAGTACCCTGGACAGAGAGAGCAGCTGTAGCCTTCTAGCGGCTTAGTCACTCGGTCCTTCAAGGGTTAATATGGTTGAAACACGAGTTTCACATGATTAATATAATAAAAGAATGGAAAAAAAACAATGGAATAGTGCAGACTGCTTATTGAAAATTAAATTAAAATATTGCAATTAAAATAATCAAATATCGTTTTTCGTACGAGGGTCAAACATGAAGATTGTTCCTTTCTTAATCGAATAATATTCATTAGATTTTATTAGTTTTCGAATTTTAATAGCAGAATTAAAGATTCCGTTACACATTCATAAATACTTGAAATTTGCAGCATTATATGAAATAAAATAAATGAAAAGGTTTCAGTTTAGCGCGTTATTCGTTCCATTAATTGTTCCGAAGACAATTGAAACACTGAAATGAAACACAAATGAAAACACTGGCAACACTGGTTTACTTTTATATAGTTTATAATGATGATAAAGATTTTGATGACGATAACAAAAGATCAAAAATAAAAAACGTATATGTTTTGTTCTGACATTTGAAACTCCCCTAGGTCCCATAATTTAAAAAAATAGTACTTAGCAAAGTCATCAATTTGCACATCGCTGAAAATAGTGATTTTTTTATTTACCCTTTAAATCGACTATGACCTTTTACTATATGTGTACAAATTCTTGAGGAAATGATCAGCCAGTTCAATACGAAGAGAGATTTACTGACTCATAAAATTTAAACGTTACTTGTGTAATTAACTATTTTATCACCTTGATGTTCTCCGTCTGAAAAAAAAATCTGAAGCAAAATGAAAGAGTAAAGAGGCAATGAAAACACAAATGCAATCAAAATCGTTGGGCAAAATTTGTATACATCCCTGAATTTGCACTATGCAAATATACATAAGTATTCAGATTTTAAAAAAGATAATGCAGACTTTTCAGTTCATTGCTAGCAGGTACAATAATAGTTTCAATGGAAATCAAGATGTCTTTGTGGAATGGAATTCAGTAATTTGAATAAAAACAGATGTGAGGTCATGGCAACAGTATGTACATAATATGTTCCATGAAATATTTCTATTTCAAGTATCTAGCTGTGTGGAGTTTGTATGTCCATATGAGTATCCCCTGGGTCTCTAATATTCTCCGACAGTCCAAAGTTATTAGAAAGGTGATTGTGGGTTAATTGGCTTCTGAAGAAGGCTCCACAGCCAAAATGTTGTCTTTCTTTTCTTCTCTTTTCAGCATGGAATAAACCTTTACTCGTTCCTCTGAAAAAAATAAAACATGTCTGCTGTTGTGTGTGTTTCTGTGTCTGGGTGTGTACCACCTTGTGGCTGTTGCTTGCTGAATCTGTGGCTCTCCTGTTGTTACGACCAGCAATAAGAAACCTGTTACCAGAAAACCATCTAACCAGTCCCCAGCGACGGCTAATTCCACAAAGCACCACTGCATGTGTTAATCAATCAGTCTCAGCTGTCCTTCACTAAACTCACCCCAGTCTCCACTTCTTATAAACCCTCATTCAGTATCAGTCAGCCCTTGGTATTGGTTTCTCCCTTGGAGCTCCTACCTTGCCTGTAGTTCTCTTTGACGTCCTATTCTTAACCCTTGGATTTTTGCCTGCTTAAAGACTACCTCTTTTTCTAGCGATTGGGATTGCTTACCTAATGCTCTGAGATCACTGCATAGGGTCCTGATATACCTTATACCTTTTGGCAGCTCGCCGTAACACCTGTGACCCTGAATTGCAAGAAATGGTTAGAAAATGCATTAATTTACACAATATACTGTACATGGCCTTTATTAAGGGTGATGATATCGTAATACTATTATGAAACTTGAATTGAAATGTTGAATGAATCAATGTGCAACTGATGTATGAAATACATAAATACAGCTGTCATAAATATGATCTCCAAAGGTGTATTTTATTTGGGTAGTTTGTAATTGTAATTTGTAATTGTGTGGACAATATCAATAATGTAATTGATGTTCAGGCATGCTGCTAGTGCAGGACATTTCTTATTTACATAAACCACAAAGGGTGGTTTAAAGGCAGAATTAACTCCCACATTAATAATATTTCACATAATCAGCATAGGAAGCATGACACCAAATTCTATCTCCTCCAATTGGCATTGGAAATCTGTTTACTGCTCACAAATCACATCTGCTAAAGATATGCACTCACCTCGCAGCAGTTAATTGTGGGGATACCCTTACACATACAAGCTACATTCAAACCCACACACCTGCTGGCTTTTATTCCAGATGAGCTCTGTTACACAACTGAACCCTTAATTGATTTAATGATAGGATACATTTTACATCTTTAATTTTTGTCTTCTCCTAAGGGATGGAGATTGCTATTTAGCTATCATATTCCATAACTAATAATCTGCAGCATTAGAATAGAAAAAAAGGTACCATGAAGAATTCAATTAAATAGAAAGCCAACTAGAGTTGTTAAATAACCTCTGTATTTATATATTTCCAAGCTTGGTCACAGCTTTTGTAGGTGGTCACAGCTGCTTACAGGTGGCAGTCATTCATTGAATATTCCTTGTAGTTAAGGATAATTGTGTTTCATGAAGGCTGATCAAACCAATACAGGATCCAAAATACTGAGGAGGAGCTAGTTTTATCTCAGGAGATTCTGGACTTTGTGGCAAATTCTTGGAAATGTCGTATGGCGATCTTTAAATAGGTGGGTCCAGGCCACAGCAAACACAGAGGTTCAAAATCCGCAGTGAAGTTTACTTCACAATGCAGGGAAAGAAAAAAACAAAAATACCACAACAAACAACCAAATCAAAATACTAAGATCGCCTTTCATATTCAACCTACACTTCTTCTTGACGTCCCAAACTATCACAGCCAAGCAGCTACGTTGCTTACTGGCCTCTATCCAAACAATAAAGTCTCTCCTAAACAAAAACAACTTCCAGAAGTTCAAAACTCATGGATCCCTTCTTCTTGGTCACTCATCAGTCCTATTTGCTAAGCTGACTTGTATGCACAGGATTTCAGCCCTCAGCCCCTTAGACAATAGCCATCCACTCCCCCCCACACTCTGACACAAGAAGACTTTGCTTACAGTTTCTTAAACATTCAACTGACTGATTCCTGCAACTGGTCATTGATCAGCAGAGGAATCTGGCTCTTCAACACACTCACTTTGCTTCCTTTGGGTCTCAAAGGAAATATCTGGGATCCTTGGCAGATATTCTTCTGGTTTGGTCAAGAAGCTGATGCTGATATTGCATTTCTTAATGTTCGCTTTTACCATGTTTTAAAACAGATCATCTTCCATTTATCCTCCTCTGATTGAGCCAGTCCTCTTCCTAGACTAAACTCCTATATGAGATGTTCTGTAGGCCACTGTGATACAACTCCAGCCACTTTTTAAATGCCTTGTATTGTATGTTGTCCATGTTTAAGGCAGAAATTAAGACTTCATCGTTGACTATCCATTTGATTTCAGATTTAATGAGGTGATATTCAAAAACCCGCTTCCTCAGTGCAAGTGCACTTTGGAGCTTGATGTTTGGTCTTCTTAAGATTAAGTCATATTTTCTCATAGGCTTCAGTACATATATTGACCATTGTTTGGGGATCGATTTCTGTGCAGGCACATACTGTACTGCAGTGTCATCAGCGTACTGGTGTTTGATCACTGAGGTTGAGGATATTTTCAGTTTTTGACTGAGGTCGTTGGCAATTAAACATTTCACCAGCCATTCAATAAATTAGCTGCAGTCCTTTGGGGGTGGTTTGTAATCAAATGAAGGAGGGTACTCAGATTGAAAATAGTGTTTAATGGATGACACAGCATTGTTTGACTCCTACCAAGACTTCTGAGGGCTCTGTAGTGGATTCATTAGTGAGAATTACAGCCCACTTATCATGATGAAGTAGGCTATGGATGCTGACGAATCCTTTCTTACAAATGATTGTCCCGTCTGCATCACAATTCACAGTGTCAAAAAGTTTTTGTCGACATTAAATGAAGATCACAGAATACAAATGCTTATTTTTTTGTATTAACTGATTCACAACGTAACAGGAGCAAATGCAAAAAAAAAAAACCTGACACATCTAATTAAAATTAAAAATATGGAGTTTTTCCTGATCACTTTTATAGTATATTGCCATGCTAAGGCATATGGAAACTAACAGCGAGACAGACTCCAGAGTCGCTTCTCATTTGCAGAATCGGTTATTACTAGGTAGTCGGCCATATAAATGCCTGATAGAACATCGCAGACAATCCAGTATTCAGTATGCAAACAGCAAAAATGATAGTTGACACAGTGTTTCGCCGTCTTTTTAAAAATATATTCGTTTTTTTTGCCAAAGGAAATATTAATTGCACTACTGTGTGTGGGCTTTCAAACAACTATGAGAAAGTGGAACAAAAAGTGTGATTTTGTGAGGACCCAAAAATGGCTGCGGCCAGTCAGACCGAGGTAAGATGAATACTGCACATTTCGAAATTTAGCGACATCAGTTTTACAGCTCTAATGAAAAAGCAGTGATTTTTTTTCTCTAGCGAGAAAAGTATGTACAGTATACTGATGACTGCTTCTTCATTCCGTTACTTGCCTTAATGTTGTTACACAGAGCTTAATATCAAGACATAAGTAAAAAAATACCTAAAGTTTTAAAGTACAGCTTGTATTAAAAAAAACAACGATTATTTTAACAGATTATTTCCTTGCTATCTCAATCTGCGAAGTAGATTACATGCTATTTTTTTTTAAGACTCACGATTTGTGATTAATTATCGGTCTCTAGTTGTTACGTGGCAGTGTGACTGCTTTGAATGAACGATACTGGGCTCGAAGTACATGATGGAAATTGTTGTGTAGATAAACATTGAATTAACATCGATATGAATTGTTCAAATTGGTTTTGTTCGTGATTGGTAGATTATTGCTATTAGTTATTAGTCTGATAATTACAGTATGCTGTTACCAATAATGACTTGCGTTAATGGCACATGTGGCATAATTGTATTTGAAATTCTTTGTATCCCCAACTGAAAAACGAGATAAGGATTTGGGTCTATTGGCAGATATCATCTTGGATGCATTTTCCGTTTAAATGATTAAATGCATCTTGCCATGCATAATTTAATTCTGAGTGTATTGCGCCTCAGATGTCCAAATTTGCAGCGTAGTTCTCCAGCTATCTATATTCAGATCACCAGAAATAAATTCCCCAAACTGTTGTGTAGAACTAGGTATTGTATAGAAATGATATCATGAACATCTTGACAGGGAGAGAGTGAATTTCTTATTTTTAAACAAAACATCGGCTTAAACACGCCTGTAATGCATACAGTATATACAGTATCGATATATTGTATACACGTCATTGCGGTTAACGTGATTTTTTTCAACTGATACATGGTGATTACTGTTATTAAATATCTTTTAAGTACAGCTTGTCTTCGACCTAATTGCTATTTATTTTCTCTTTGGCTGGATTATAAAAAACAATCAAACACTTATTTTGCTCTTCTCATCAACTATATACATTATTTCAATCAGAAAATTAAAAAAAGACTCAAGTACTATAGGTGTCAACGTTATTAATGTGTGTCATCATTCCTAGTTTTTTATTTTTCTAAAGGTGTGTCACAAACTGACAGAAAATAAATAAAAAGCCTGTTCCATATTTCTCCTAACCACAAATCGATGTTTTAATATTACTGTATGTAGTTACAATCTCGAAAAGATGTAACAAAAGACAGATTAAAAAGAACCATACAGTACCTTCTTAACAGCTGTTTTCTGTTTAACAGAATAATGTATGCACATAAATATCCCATAACTTATTATATTGTATAACTTAACGATTCCACTAAAATGTTCTGGTAGCATGATCGGGTTATCACAGTTTATAGAGTTCCTAAAAAAATAGTCATCATTGTGAATATACCTCCTGATTCCTCTCTTATGATGATTGAATTTAAGATGTGATTTTCAGATTTTCTGTAGCTTTTACTTCAGTAAGGATTCTGGCCTAAACCAAAATATTTTACTGCTTGGTTATTGTTTCAGCGAGCCATGATGAGGGTTCTTTCATTTCTGCTGGTCATTATCTTAAATGCTCATTGTGGCCATGCAGCATCGAAAGGGGTGAATGTCATCTTAAGTGCTAAGTGGCCAGCAACACCCCTTCTGCTAGAGACAAGGTAAGACGGCACAGATGTAGTCTTTTAAGTATTAAAAGTATTTACATATTAGACACTGCAAATGGTTTTGGGAAATAAAAATGGATGTTGCCTTCATTAAATGGGATTGAAAAGCATAGACCATGAGGTAGTAATAATATATGACTATCTAATGATGTGTACTGTAGTTTGAAAACTGATAGCACTGCTATTTCAAAAGTTACTAGGAGTTAGGACGTAGTTCACTTCATTGGTTTTTGTGATATATGATTAAGTTTGTACAGGATCATGAATGAAGTGTCTTCAGTGTGATTTGAAGATAGCCCCAGGAAAATTGACAGCAAAATTTCTGTTGTAGCAAAAGTAGTTCCTTCCTTAGTTTTCAATGAAAGAGATATCTTCACTTGAAATATATGGTGTTATTTACAGTTGTAAGTTTGATAGCCTTGTGCTTTGTCATTTTTTTTCATAGTGAGTTCATTGCAGAAGATGGTGAAGAAAAATTCTGGCAGTTTGTTGACACCGTAAGAGAATTAACAGTATATAAGGGTGGTGGTGAGTATTTTGAGCTGTGAAAAAGACTTAATATCGAAAAAGTCTTTGGTTAGAATGCAAGTTTTATTTAAGATGAAAAAATAGCATAACATTTTCTAAACTGCAAAAAATAGCATTCCTAAAATCAAATCATTGAAATTGAGGACTAATATTTGAATCCAGGGCAGTTTGTTCAGTTTTTAAAATGTTGCACAAAGGATGTCAGCAAATGTTGTGATGCCAGTTGCTCATTTTGAGATGTCTCTGCCCTGGTGGATAATGATGTGCCAGTTAAGGCTATATTTTGTCTTCATGTTCCAAAGTCCTTGGTGTCCTTCCAACCAAAGTCAGAATAAAGAGAAAATTACACAACTGAACATGCTATATTTTCTGTTCATTGTAGATGGCAGTGCTATATATCAAAATGAGCACAGGCATGGGACATACTACAGTGCATCCATATAAAAACACACAAGAATAGCAGTCTCTCAGATAATGTGACCTTGTGTGTTACACAAAGCCTGAAACAGACTTTTATGGATATTTTTTCCCCATCTGTGTTAAAACAATGTGGAACAACTGGACAGTTTTACCATGTTTAATGATATTGCTCATTGTAATGTGGTGAGAGCCTGTGTAGCAGTGTCATTTTTTCAGGAGTTCATATTATGTGACTGTGCCATTTAATGTCCTTAAGAAAAAAAACATGTTATGATATTTCTTTTATCCTCATTAATTGCCTTTAGTCTAATTAAAATTGCTTTTGTGTGACTTTAAAGGCATCTCTTTTTAATATGAGTGTTACTCTGTGATTTATATTTCTTACCTTAAACAGTTGTTCTAATCATTTTAACAGGCCAAAACCCTATTTGTAACTAGATGTTTGACTTTACTGGGCTGTGAATTAAAAATCTTGATTCAGTGTTTGATTAATTTGTATTTTCCCTAATAGAGTCTGTACGTTCTTATTACAACTTGATATTGAAGAAGGCTGGACAGTTTGTTACTGATCTTCAAGTCAATCTTCTGAAATTTGCCTTGTCCTTGAGGATTTATTCTCCTGCAGTACAGTCATTTCAGCAGGTAAGATTACAGTAAAGGACACAACTCATTAAGGATATCTCCTCTATAAGTATTTTTAATAAAATATTGATAAAGACATATTTTATCACCATCAGTAGGAAAGCAAGTTACAGAAGATGAGAAACAAGGCATTAGAGGACAGTACCTTCTGTATTTATAATACTTATACGTATTTTCTGAGTTGACTGAATAAAGTATTGTAGCATTGCAATAGTTTTCTATTAAATAACAGAGGTGATTCAAGAACACAAGGTTTTATAAACTTAATATTTTTTGTGTAATTAAGGTGAAACTGAAGTTTGTGCTGTGATTAGAGATAATATATATTCTCTCATCATTTCAGCAATTAAGAGGTGATTTATTTCAATGTAAACTGAACTAAAAATATGTTTTACTTGCATATTTTGAGGTTCATTGTATTGATGACCTTTTTCAATTCTCATGGAGAAAGTCATGGACGTGGTTAAGCATACAGTATGTTTAGCCTGAGGGCACCACTGTGGCTAGCATTGCTGCCTCGCAATACTAGGATCCTGGGTTCACTTTTGGACCTGGGCTGCTATCTGTGTGACAGTTGTATGTTCTTCCAGTGTTTGTGTGAGTTTTCTCTGGATGCTTCTATTTCCTTCCACAATCCAAACACATACTGTAAAGCTAATTGGGTTATGGGAAAACAGGCCCTGGTTTGAGTGTGTACTGTATGTCTGGGTCTGTGTGTGCCCTACAGTGGAATGGCATCCTGTCCAGGGTATATCCTGCCATGCTTCCATTTACCAAGATAGGCTCTGGCTCCCCTGCAACCCTGAATTGGAAGAGGCGATTTGAAAATGAATGGATGGATATTTAACCTTGTTTGAGTTGTACAGTAAATCGATGTGCAACTAACTTATACAGTATATTAAGCATTGAAAACTTGGCAAAATGGCAAATTTTAAATATTGGCTATTTCACAAACACTAACAAATGGTCATTTATTAAGTCACTCTCTGTGGCTTTAACTTTTGAAGCTCTTTGTATCTGTAGAAGCAGATTAGTCATTCAACTTCTGAACATCAGACTGTTATTTTGATCACTGCCTCTTAATTTAAGAAAGACGATAAAGACAATTTGTCAAGAAAATCTCTATATTATTTAGTTTCCCAGAGGCTTTAGTAATTTCGCTTGGTCTTTGACATTTAGTGTATTGAATAAGTCTGAAGTCCATTGTCTAAGGACATTTATAGCCAAGCTTAATTTATAAGCTGTAATATGAACAGTTACCTGTACTATCAAAAATGTATTTTTAAGTTGCATTTTATCAAATAGTACTACATTACACCCACAGTCTATTAAGCCTAGAAACAGGTTTTACTAGACAGTATCTTTGATTACCTTTAAGCCAATTTAATTTCCATTTGATATTTTTTTAAATTCTTTGTTTTTTGCTTTATTTTTGGTGCAGTCTAGTGTCGTGCCTATCCATATAATTTATGTTTTTTGTTCTTGCATTCATCTCCTCCTTTCTTCTCCAAAGAGATTTTAATGCAACCACCATCATAGTGTTTTGTTGAAAAAAAAAGCATAAGAAAGCACATTGGTTCTTCAAAAAGGGTTTTCTTACGGTAACACATGGTTACAACTTAAAAGTCTTTTTGCAGGTTTAAAAAAGAAAGCAGATATGAAAGGGTAGTACCCCAAACCAAATTGTTGTCCGTCGTCTTTTAAACAGTTCTCTCTCAAATCTTTGTGGTTTTAGCGCTATACCCTACTTAGTGGAGAAACTCCAGTTAGCATCAAGCTATGTTTGGCATGCAGTATTAAGTGACCCTGAAGCTAGAGCCAGTGAATTCTCAGTAGTCAAGCAAGGCTGGGTGTTAGTACTGATAGGCGAGGCCTTTAAGGAAAATCAGATTGCCGCTGTTGGTGGTGCCAGTTTGTGGCACTCTTCCCTCTTGACCAGAATTTCCAAACAAATACCTTAAATGACTACGTGGTTATTAATATT